TTTAATTTGTTCCGTAATCTTGCTTGTATGTCGAATTGCTCTTATTTCAAAGCAATTTTATTAATGGAAATGCCATTAATCCGTTCCAGCTCCCAAAACACCACCTCGGTTGTTTTTTAAGTGTTTTAGAATTAGAAAAATATATTTACAAAGAGAAACATTTATTTAGTCAGTAACAAATACATTTTCTATAAAAACAAGAAAAAATGAAGGTATTTACTTTTTTCGTCACGCATAACTGGAGCAAATCTGTATGTGAACCAAATGAGAATTGACCGTGTCTCACAATACAATTACTTGGGAACTATAATCAATGAATGAACTGAAAACAAAAATTAGGCTCCCTAAATGTTACTTGTACTCAGTGCTTCTGTATGGAGTAGAAACGTGGACATTAAAGGCGGAAACTCTATCAAAACTTCAGGCGTTTGAATTATGGTTATACAGAAGAATCCTGAAGATACCATGGACAGACAAAGTCACCAATAAATAAGTAGTGGGGAGGATGAACACAACCGCATATTTGTCCAACATTGTGAAGAGCCGTAAGCTGGAGTACTTGATACATATAATGAGAAATCAAGGCAGATACGAGCTACTCCAATGCATTTTGCAGGGTAAAATTGAAGAAGAATATCCTGGCTTGCTAACCTGAGAGCATGGTATAGAAAGACCTCAACACAGCTATTTCGTATAGCAACCAACAAAATCATCATAGCCAAAATGATGGCCAACGTTCGGAACGGACAGGCACACTAAGAAGAAGAAGAAGTCACGCTTTGCACATGTTCACCTGTAATGTTAAAACTGTCACATCTTCAAATAATTATTTTATTTAAATTTCTTTATCAATTTATCAATTCCTTAACCTTCAGTTTCTTTTTTACTATCCTTTCTTCAAAAAAATAGTTCGATGTCCGATAGAATAAATATTCAACCTCTCTCTTTCTGTCCGGAAGTACGTATTCTGTTCTATGTTGACAGAAGAGCTAATTTCATCATATCATAATATATATATCATAATATATCCTATATATTATGTTCTATAGCTTATGTACTATACTTTATTGAAAGTCAATCCGCACTGTTTGCTTTCAAACGTGGTGGGAATATAATTTTTGTGTCTGTAATTGAAATTCACAAAAGAAGATAATATGGAATTAGGTTCATTTTATTGTCGGTAGAAATCTCTTGGGGCGAGTACTTTCATTTTAATTTATATTCTATAATTCTGACAGAATTTTCAATATTCATAACCTCACTTCTTACAAAGCCACGTTTTAGATTTTATGCATGTAGGAATCTTACAAAACGTAATTAATTTTAATAATAATTCTATTTCACTTTATCCTTGTTATCTACTATTTGTTTAATTGTAATTTTGTAAAATAATCGATAAAGAAATTATCCTTCTTTGATGTCTTGCTAATGCTGATGTTATATTCTAGTTTATTGGGTTTATTGGATAATTTCTGAAATGTTTTATGAAATAATGTATATTTATGGAATACTATGGAATTTATGGAATAACTGCAACTATCTGCAACCAAATATATGCCATAAGTGTCAGTTCCCAATTTATTTATTGTAAAGCTTTAGAGAAGGTTGTTTTTCTTTGTTTTTTTGTGTCGAATAAATATGATTAGTTAAATCATTGTTTTATTTATTACCAGACAAATTTTCATTGTTTAATTCATGATTTAAGACAAGACGGATTCACACTTGAGAGACTAGAAGAAGCATAGACGATAAGCTTCCATGGCTGATTGGGGTATTATTTTATAATAGTATTTTAATTCCCTTTGGTATTCTTATCGTTACATAGCGAGATCAGCGTTTATAACGACGAATTCTCTTTTCAGGAGTCACGATTTACCACTTGCTACCAAAATCTCTCTCATTAAATGTTATGTATTTTCTACGTTATTATAGGGAGAAGAGGCCTGGACACTTTCCGAAGCTTCTTTAAGAAAACTCGCGGCATTCGAGATGTGGTGTTATAGACGTATTTTAATAATTTCATGGGTGAATCGTGTGACTAATGTTGAGGTCCTACGGAGAATAGGCAAGGAATGCGAGATTATTAACACCATCAAAGAGCGCAAACTAGAATATCTTGGCCATGTTATGAAAAACGAACGAAGTACGGCTTGTTGCAACTCATTCTTCAGGGCAAGGTATTTGGAAAGAGGAGACCAGGGAGAAGTAGAATATCTTGGTTTCAAAACCTGAGAAAGTGGTTTAATACATCGACAACCGGACTATTCAGAATAGCAGTAAGCAAAGTTAGGATAGCCATGTTGATCCGGACGGATAGGCACCGTAAGAAGAAGAATTGTCACACACCTGCAGATCGTTTAAAATAATTGTCCAGGCAATTCTGTTTCTTTCTGTCTTTCAAAATAGAGAGAACGAGTTAGGCAAATTTAGTTAAACATTTCCAATGTACGATCAGTTACAATTTTTTCGGGGTGATTTGTATCCACGAAATTTACAAAGATATCTCTTGTAGAGATAAACTCACCCATCTCTAGCTCCTCTCCAAAACCAATTTTTCGTTGAAACACCATATTCTGCTGAGAATGTAGGTCGTGTAACTTCTTAGTTGTCAGTTTCTACAACTGTTTCTTGACGAGTTCGTTCACATCTGCCTCATATACCTTAAGACCCATGGATTTTCCCGAAAAACAATCTCCTGTACCACCGACACTTCGGGTTTTAACCCTTTGAAAGCCGTTTCAGCTATAGCTTCAGGACACAGCTTCTTTCATGCATGCAGAGGTTAAAGTCCTTATACAACCCAGTGAGGCCTGATTAATAATTATTAGACATAGCACAATTTTAACTTGGTCCTTCCAGAATTCTCGAAAGGTAAGGTTTGTATTCTCCATCACCTCAAAGCAGCGAAGAAAAATATGCTTGGTGTACAACTTCTTAAAATAAAAAATCACCTGCTGATCCGTGGGATGCAGAATAGGAGTAATATTAGGTGGTAGGTAGAAAACCTTTATAAACTTGAACTCTTCGCTACGCCCGTATATAAACGTATGTCAAATAATGAAAATTAGTTCCAGAATATTTTCTAGGCTTTTCTGATACAAGACAAACTTAGCTTGATATTTGGCATAATTACACTACTTAACAATTGAAGTGGATAATTTTAAAATTCCTAAAATTAACGTATAAAACTATTCTTAAAATAATTGCCTGTACTATACTCTATATGCTATCTTTATTGCCAATATTTTTTGCACGTGTTTTTTTCCCTATTCTTATCGGCCCTTATCTCGTACAAAGAGAGAAATATTGTTCCAAACATAAATATATCATTCGTGTAAAAGTGCTTCTATTAACCTTACCAGTTGTCAATAAGTCAAGAAATCTATTTAAGATATCTATCACAAAAACATTATGCCGCAAAGACGTTTAGAACTAGTGCAGCTAGAGCAGTTAGCTCGTTGGATCCAACAAGGTATAACTCAACAAGGGGTTGCTATGAGGGTAAATTTGTCGCAAAGTGTGATAAGTTGTGCATGGAATCGGTATGTAGCAACTGGATCTGCAACATACAGGCATGAAGGAGGAAGAGAACGATCTAGAACTCGTCGGCAAGACTGTTTTGTAATTCTGACGGCAAGAAGAGACCCAACATTCACGGCTTCCAGATTTAACAGTATCTTTAGGCATATTAGTGGATGAGAGATTTCCAGTCAAACTGTCAGAAGACGGTTACGTGCATTCAATTTAAGGGCTAGACGGTGCGCTACCCATCCACGACTAACTAGCGAGCAGCGTGCATGCAGATATCGCTGGGCGATGGAACACTATCAGTTGAATTTCGAAAATTGAAGGAATTGTTCCTGTATTGACGAGTCCAGATTTCGTTTGGATACTAATGATGGTCAAATATGGCTGTGGAGGGAAAGAGGACAGGGTTACAATGAAAACCTGAGAGTCCCAACCACTCTTTTTGGAGGTGGATCCGTTTGCGTGTGGGGAGGCATATGTTTTGACGGTCGCATGGACTTAGTCGTCTTAACTAATGGGACAACGCCTGCTACACGATATCGAGACAGAGTCTCGACGTCTAGTACCAATAGTTGTTCCATTTTTTGATACAATATGCGAACAATTTGTTCTGATTGATGATAATGGTCGCCCTCACCGTGCGAAAATTGCCAACGAGTGTATAGAAGTCATAACATTACAAGAATGGAGTGACCACCATGTTCATCTGATATGATATTTGACCAACACTTCAATTGTTGAGAAGTATAGATATTCACCCTCAAAGAGTTTTGATGACTAGTTGCTCATGACCTTCCTCCATACTTATACCCTTCATCATCAGGCCCACCTAAAACTTCGTCATTTTAATGTTCTTCTATAGTTTCAGAAATCGTTTTCGCTCTTCGTCGTAATGTAAAATAATTTAGTAAATAAAAAGAAAATTACCATTTCACTCAAAAATAATTTGTTTCATGATTCTTATAATCTATAAAAATATCCATAATAAATATTTTATTACTATTTATCAAAATTTACTAAGAATAAAATAAATACTAATAACTGTTTATAATGTCAAAAATAATAAAGATGCAGTACTTATTATGGTATTTATTTACTAAAGAATTAATTAAAAATGAACCAATTTGGCAAACTGTAAATAACTACACGACAAATATAGTTCTTTCTCTTTCGTTTTCTAAAGGGCTCCTAATTGTAGTTTTCTTTCCTTAGGACGGTTTGTGTTTTCAATCAATTTCCGCTTCTCCACTTTATGACCCAATCCAATCATTTTTTGTACAAAAAGAAAATTGGAACTTTCCTTTTTCACACGTGGTGTTGTGCTGAAATTGCGAGGAAGGATTTTAATATACTGAGATTTTTAATAAAAATATTTATTTTTTATACTATTCTTGCCTTGTGATGTATATAGGGTTTTTGAGCATTTCCTTAAGACTATGTTTCAAGTCCAATACTTTATACAGGTACTTTACTCAGTAAGGATTTATTTCACGACCATGTAAAGAATGCAATGGTGGAAAGTTGAACAAATTCCTGAAAACAAAACATGGGTAAGTTTGTAGTAGTTAATTTGTAATCTTTTAATAATCGATGTTTCTCTTCTACTTAGGAAGTCCTGGAAGAGATGACCTATAGACGGCTGGAGTTTCCGAAGAGTTGTTTTGCTCTTTGGCTAAGTTTTGTCAAGGATCCTCTACTGCCTTTTTGAAAACGAGTTTGAGATTGTTAGTTGGTTGAATTATAGTTATTCCATTACTATGGTTGGTAGTTTCTTTAACAAAATGATCTTTTACCAGCAATTACAATAGCCATATGAAAGAAACTGTTACATCATGAGCGGAGAGATTTTGGTGGATGTCATAAATGGTTTGAACTAATGGTTGTTCAGTGTAAATTGTATTGATTGAATGTATAGATGAAAGGGTATCTGTACTAATGGTAGTATATCTGTTCTAACGGGAGACTACTATATAGTATAACTATAGAAATGCCAACAGAATACTATATAGTTTACCTGTGTACCTGCATGTAAAGGATAACCAAGATGATCTTACCGAAAAGTTCATTTTTAGTGGTGACTGCACAGCCAACACCAGTGGTAATTTTATAAGCACAGGTAAAGATAATTAAATCATACAAATTTTTTTTGCATAGTTTCTAAAAATGTTTTCGTTATACGAATGTTAGAAGATTCTCATGTTTGTTAAAGATACTGAGTTGTGTCTATTAAAGGAAATGGTTTAGCCCAGAACAAAAATAAAGGTAGAGAAAATGAAAGGTCAAACAAAGATAAATATTTTTGAGTAGTGGAGAATTCAATAAAGGTATAGGTTTTGTGATGAGATGTTGGATATTTTTATTTTACAAAGGTAGTATTGTGGTAATTATGGAATAGACGGTATTGACCGGATTTGTAATTGTTGCTGCGGCATATGAAAGTAGAAGAGATTGTTGTCATAATATGATAGATAGAAGGGCACCTAGACATATATGGATAGCGATATTGTGAACAGAGTTTGATAAATCTATGTCAGATCTAGAGGCAGAGTAGATGGCAGAGTGACCGCAGTCAAGCTTAAATCAGATGAGAGCTCTGTATCTGACGGTTTTAAGAACGGCGTTTTAATTGGATTTACATTGTTATATGTGATTTTTCCAATTTAATTGGAGCAAAATATCATAACTAATTTTTCTTACATCCTTTATTTATTGTAATCTGTTTCTACATAAAAAAAAAACAATAATCAATAAGGTTAACAAGTAATTAACACAGGGGAGATCCATCCAGTAACAAAAATCCATATATTTAAAATTTAAATAACACCTTACAAAGACATTTACTAACATTTTAAAAAATAGCAATAGTTAAAATACATATTTTGTATACAATAATTATATATAATAATTATAAGTTATAGGTATATAGATTAAACGAAATAAATTCGGAACATACGAAATATTATGTAGGTATTTTGGTTGGCTCAATTCTGCTATAGGTGGTTGGCCAACAAAAGATTGTCAAATAATTATATTATAAAAATCCAATACTTCAGCGTGCTGGATTCTGAAATCATAAAAATTGAAAGCTACACATAAATCTACGATTTTATTATGCTCTCAAACCACTTATAGTCCAAGAAATGAAGCATTTCACCTCGCAATTTTTTCGTCCTGGGTGGATTGGATCGAATTTATATAGAACCAAAGTGCGCCAAAGCCTTGGGGGTGGTTGCCACCCCATCTCGGGGGTGAATTTTTTTTACTTTTTAACTACAGGTTTTGATTAAAAAAGTGATTCTAAACAAAAAATGTTCTATACATTTTTTTTGTAAAACTGATATTTTTCAAGTTATTCGCGATTGAAAGTAACAACTTTTAGACGAAAAAATCGACGTTTTTAATCGGTTTTTCGCGAATAACTCGAAAATGGTTCATTTTATCACAAAAAATGGAGAGAACAAATTTCTAGCTTTTAAAAAGACATATACAATTCATTTTTTAAAATGTTTCTGCGATATAATAGGAACTGAAATACGCCCTATCAACGTTCCACAAAACCCACAAAACCTTTTTTAAAAAGCATAAATAGACCTATCATAAAAAAAGACTTTAGCTCAAAAATTGAGTGAGTTGCGATGAAAATAAGGTCAATACCTCATTTTTTTTACGAAAAAATTGATGAAAACGACCCAATAACCACACCCATAATTAAAATCGATCCTTACCCTTCTGCAATTCTCTTTGTACATGTATTGTTAATACGTCCAAGAGGTTTGACCCATTTAAAATGCTTAATTTTAGAAAAACTACAGCTTAAAGCGAGAGACGATTTACAATTTCATATTTTTTTCCCTTCTTTTTTTAAATATCCCCGAAAATACTGAATATATGAAAAAAATAAAAATGTACTAAATTGTGGCTTTTTAATGACTAAAATTTTCAAAAAAAAAAACACAGAAGTTAAAACACTTCACACATGTGTATTGTGGTATAAAGACAAACAAATATTTAAAACTTTATAAAAGTGTCGTCAACATTTAAATTCTGGCAGAACGTTTTCAATCTGAACAGATCATCCTCAGTGCCTTGTGTATTTGTTGCTAACAGTAAAGTTGTCTATAAGACCTCCATGTATGGATTTACAGTATTTCAAATTTTACATTTAATAATGTTTTGACTTCAGGTCGATGACAATGGATATATTTTTAAAATTACTTAGGGACTACATGTCTCCCTGCTCGAATGTTAGCACGTGGTACTTGTCAGTTGAAACGACACAGACCAACTGAGTTGGTCTGTGTCGTACACATTTATACAGTAATAATTTATTATGTAGACTTAATTTGGATTTTTGGTTCATGAATCAATACATTTTTCTGTATATTAATCCTAGTTGCAGTGGCTTTGTCCAGATGTGCTTTCCTCAATTTAGTATTATGGTATTGTTTATGCACACAGATGGTGCTCTTTGCGTAAAGAAAATGTTATATGAGCTGATTTAAAATAATACACATTTTTATTTAAAAAACAGACGTTAGAGCTTTATAATTTTATTGTAAATCGCACTCAAATTTGACCAATCTAAAACTAACAAACCGATCATCTTTTTTTTTAAGCGTCTTTCAAAGCACTTTTAACACTGAAAATTAAAATTGATCAACAATTTATGAACGTATTCAAATTGTTTATAAGCTTAAAATTTAAACAATTTTTAAAAAAATTCGCAAAATTCTTCTAATTAACAGATTTTTAAAATTTAAAGTGAATTTGAAAGTTCAATTGCTTTTCTATACCTTAAAACTTTTTAAAATACCCTTAAGTTTGTAGCTTACTACAAGCAAATGGTTCCAAAAACTGAAGTAAATTTTTCGTAAGATACTGGTCTCATCATTGTAAGTAATACCAATTTACAAGAAAATATATATTTTTAAAACTTACCAGTATAATCCATCACAATTCGACGGAGTCCACAGCTGGCCATCCCAAACGTTTAAATAACTCCTACAGATTTGGTCGGCCTTCTTGGGATCCCACGCACTGGCCACGTGAAATTTTAAAACACTTAACCATACTCGATATCGGGGAGGCGGTAGTATCATGCCGACATGCCTCCAGTCTGGATAGCGTGTTCGATGTGGTGGCGGTGGAGTAGGCGAAATAGACGCATCGAGTCCTTGGAGATGGTATAGGCAGGTCGTGTTAGCTGGTACTGAATGTATAGGACTCTCCAAGACGCCTCGGTTGGTGCCACGTACCCAGAACTCGCACATTCGTTTTTGTTTGGTGAACGAGGGAGATTGTTGGTCTACGAAGGTAACCTGAAAGAAATTTAGAAACTGACCTTTACTTGACATCAAGCGAAAAAATATATTTGTCAGTATTCAACTCTTGACGATTGTTATGTTAAATTTAGTTCAGTGCAGAAATCGGGAAAGTCTTCTTGTTCTTCTTTCTTTATTGGGTAATATTCCAGAGCAGAATTTGCCCAGTTAATTCAAGGAGATATTTTCAACTTGCTCTAGGTAATTGAATATCCCCATATAACACTAAATTGAAATTATTTTGTATTGAATGAAGACTATGTTGAAACTTCTTCTTCTTGGGACAAACATTTAGTATAGGAAAGACAATACAACACCGGATAAAATTTTTCTCGCTTAAGGGTAGTAACCAAGCTGAACACATACCAGAAATGCTACCAACGGATGATAGTCAGAAAACCTAGGTCTAAAAAAAAGAGAAATTTGTAAGGTTATGTTATAGTAGAATATAAGAAAGGAATATATATATATATATATATATATATATATATATATATATATATATATATATATATATATATATTATAGATTGATTTTGCCTAGATTAACAAAAGTTATCAACAAATTTAGTCTTTAAGGATTAGGATTTAATAGGATAGAGCAAATCTGGGCACTCTAGGATAATATGATTAAGAGATCCAATTTAACCACATTAGCAGTATGGGTTGTCCCGAATACTTATGCGGAATAAATGAACTGGAGTGGAACAATGTTCTGTTCTCATATTAATTGCTGTGGTGATATGCCTTCTGTCTTTGTCAGGAAATAGATTAAACCATGGTGATTTGTTCCATTTATTGACTATTTTATCATAAAACGACCCTTTTGATCTCTTTAAATTCCATTCTTGTGCCCATCGAGTCCAAATTAGCTTTTATATATAACAAGCGAGTCTTCTACAGCTGGCGCCGCTTCTCGCATCCTAATTTCCAGCGTTTTCTGTCGAAGCAATCTTTAATTGTTAGATCTCTGGCGGTCATTGCATCGTCGATATCGTCTCTCCAGGATCGTCTTGGTCTACCTCGTTTTCTTCTAGTTGGCGGAGTCCATTCTTCTATTTTTTTTGGCCATCTATTTTCCGGCATTCTCTGAAGGTGTCCATACCAGTTTAGTCTTTTGGCTTCGATTGTGTCTATTACGTCTAGATCGATTATTATTTCTCTCCGAATATCTTCGTTTCTCACCCTATCAAGTCTAGTGAGCTGGCAACATCGTCTCCAGTAGTTCATTTCTATGGCCCTAATTTTTGATTTGTTTCTTTGGTTTATTTCCCAGAGTTCGGCGCCATACAGTCCAATACTTTCTATTATTGTTTTATAAATTCTTCTTTTATTTTCTTTTGTTATTTTTTTATTTCATAATAGTCCGTGTAGCTGTCTGGTGGCTGATCTTGCTTGGCCAATCCTGGAATGTATTTCTTCGCTACTTCCTGCTTTTGATGTTATTTGGACTCCCAAGTACTTAAAATTGTCTGTTGGTTTTATAGTTCTCATTTCGATTTGTAGGCCTTCTGGTTTTTCTCCTACAACTAAGTACTCAGTTTTTTGTATATTAATTGTGAGGCCCCATTTGGTGTACTCATCTTCCAGTTTTCTAAGCATGTAGCTTATATCACTCTCGTCTTCAGCTAGAATGGCTTGGTCGTCAGCGAAATGTATCGTGTACAATCTATCATCTCCGATTGGGATGCCCATATTGCAGCACTTTCTTCTCCACAGTGAGAGTGCCTCATTTAGATATATTTTGAAGAGTGTAGGTGCTATGCAGCAGCCTTGCTTTAGGCCCTTACTAATAGGAATTTCTCTAGTTAAACTATTTCCAGTTTTAATGTTTGCCGTCATATTTTTGTAGAGCTGTTGTACTGCTTGTATATTTTTTTTGCTTATTCCTTGTTTTTCCATTGCTACCCAAAGCATTGAAAGTGGTACACTATCGTATGCCTTTGTCAGATCTATAAAGACTATATGAGTTGAAAGGTTGTGGGCTAATCTTTTCTCGATAACTTGCTTTAGAGAGAATATACTGTCCATGCAGGATCTGCCTGCACGAAAGCCATTCTGTTCTTCTACATCTGTCATCTCTTTTTCAATTTTATTTTTTATTATTTTTCCATACAGTCTTGAGAGTGAATTTATGACACTTCGCCCCCTATAGTTTGAACAATTCTTTCTATCTCCTTTTTTGTATATGTTGTTAATATATGCTTTTGTCTACTCCGGTGGTAAGTCGTGTCCATTATTAAATAAGGTGAAGACATACGCCAGTAATTTCCGTAATACTTGTGGGCTATGTTTTAATAAATCGCTTTTCAATATAAAATATATAAAATAACTAGTTTGAATAATGCAATTTATCTTTGACTGGCATTTTTAGTGATCTTCCTGTTTGCCAATTTGTCTGCAACACAAACAACACAATTGCTCTTAATATCCGAATGTCCTGGAATCCATGCCAGATTAATACTGATGTTGTATTGATTGACTTCTATAATGTCCCTTTTGGTCATGATAGAGGTATGTTCAGTTTCCATTGAGTAAGATGTTTTCCTTATCTTTTGGATAGCACTCTTAGAATCAGACAAGATTAAGTCCCTCTTGATATCCTTCTCTAAGACAAATACAAATACTTACCAAGTGAAAAAGGATCACATTCACCAGCCATCACTTTAAGTAGACCAACAAAACCTGTTTACATTCCAAATTACTCAAATACATATAAATCTTATCTTATATAGGGACTGTAACAGCCCTGTATTAGAATTATGTTGAAATAAAATAAGTCTTATCACAGATATCTCTGCCGAACCACCGAGCCTGCCACCAAACCTGCCACCAAACCTGCCGAGCTTTGCAATTACCACCGTCAGGGTCGAAAGGTTTATGTCGTATTGTAGTATGCAACTTCATCATCATTCAGCCCATACTCGTCCACTGCTGAACATAGGCCTCCCGTAGTTCACCCCACAAATTTCTGTCCTGAGCCGCCTGCATCCAATTTTGATGTGTCCGTTTCAGGTCATCCGTCCATCTTGTTGGTGGTCGTCCTCTATTTCTAAAGGCATCTTGTCTGGGTCTCCACTCAAGAATGCGTTTTGTCCATCTGCCGTCCTTCGTTCTCGCGACGTGCCCTGCCCAGTTCCATTTTAAGGTTGATATTCTTTTGATTGCGTCGGTTACTCCCGATCTACGGCGCAATTCTGTGTTGGGTATTCGGTCTCTCAGGGTTAATCCCAACATGGACCGTTCCATTGCCCTCTGTGTTGTTCGAATTTTATTTGCGGACGTCTTAGTAAGTGTTAGCGTCTCCGCACCATAGGTTAGAACTGGCAGCACACACTGATCGAAGACTTTTCTCTTCAAGCAGATGGGAAGGGCTGATTGGAAAACATCTCTTAGCTTTCCATAAGCTGCCCATGTCAACCCTATTCTACGTATTAGTTCATTGGTCTGGTTATCTCTACTTAAGCGAATTTCGTGTCCCAGATATTTGTATGCTGATGTTTGTTCTATACTTGTTCCAGCTATGTTGATGTTCTCACTCAGAACAAGGTTTGTCATCACTTGTGTTTTTGAGTTATTGATCTTTAAACCCACTTGTGTAGAGGCATGGTAGAGTCTTTCGCACATTTCGATGGCATGATCTATGCGGTCTGTTATCAGGACTATATCGTCCGCGAACCTGAGGTGACTAAGCTGCTCTCCATTTATGTTTATGCCCTTTTCGTCTAGGTTTGCACGCTTACACATGTATTCCAATAATGTTGTAAACAGTTTTGGCGAAATGGTGTCGCCCTGGCGAACTCCGCGATGAATTTTGAACTTGTGTGTATCTTCATGGAGTCTGACGCATGCCGTGGCATTATCATAGATATTTTTGATGACAGTGGTGTAGCGGTGATCTATTCGGCACTCTTTTAAAGCTTCTAGCATTTTCTGGTGGTTTACTGTGTCGAATGCTTTCTCATAATCCACAAATATTAGGACGAGGGGTTTATTGTACTCTATACATTTTTCGATGAGGCTTTTAATAACTTGTAGATGGTCGTTTGTGCCGAAGCCTGACCTGAATCCTGCCTGTTCGCATGATTGGTAAAAGTCCATTTTGTTCGAAAGTCTGTTTGTTATGACTTTTGTAAAAAGCTTGTATATGTGTGAGATGAGGCTGATTGGTCTATAGTTTACGAGATTTGTTAAATCTCCTTTCTTAAACATTAGAATGATCACTGCATTTTGCCATTGTGATGGTGTTGTTCCTCTTTCAAGGCATTCTGTGAAAAGTATGGAAAGCATTTGTATCAGTTTCTCGCCTCCTAATTTTATGGCTTCGGCAACGACCCCGTCGTCGCCAGGTGACTTGTTATTTTTCATTTGTAGGAGAGCTTTTTTGATTTCATCAACAGTAACATCTGGTATGTCTTCCGAGCCCTGGTTTAGAACCTTTGGTATGTTGTCAGTTGGAACATTTTCTTCTGTTTTGCTGTAGAGTTCGCTGTAAAATTGTCCGACAGTTTGTAGAATTTCCTGTTTATCTGTTATTATTTCGCCCTTTGTGTTTTTCAGTTTGTAAATATTTTTCTTTCCTATTTGCTGTTTCCTTCTGAAGACTTTTAAACTTTTGTTCTCTTCTATGACTTTTGATATCTCTCTGGTGTTGTAGTCTCTTATATCTTTTCTGATGTTCTTAGTGATTTGTTTGTTTAGTTGTCTCATTTTTGTCATTTTTTTATGCAACTTAACTTATACCTAAATGAATAAATTCTTTAAAATAAAAAGTACATTAAAAGTTTTAATGTAACAGATTAAGTTATAAAATTAAATCACTCTCTAATACAGATATGTAAATTAGCATAACTTGTTAAATTGGCGATCACGCTATAAAGTTTCAAACAACACTAAGAAAAATCTCCCTAATTTAACATTACCATTCTGTTATAAACGAAGTTTCATATTCCCGTAAAGCAAGAAGTAACAAAACATTCTCGTAACTTATTATCACCG